TTTTTTTTGGCAGAACTGGGGATTGAACTCAGACCCTTGCGCTTGCTAGGGAAGGTTTATTCTACCGAGCCATCTCCTTGGCCCTTAATTTAATTTTACTTTTAAGAGTAAAAGCAGAGCAAAAACAAATAGAAAAAAAAGACAGAAACAGGCTAACACAGGAAAGCCTTTTCGACATTGGCCAGGTAGACAGTCAGGCAGCACCGGCTGGTTCTCAAAGGATGCTAATAGTGAAGGGAAATTTTTTTTCCATTTTCTTACTGCTTCAATCTAATTTTACAGTATTACTTGTGAGAGATTTCTTTACCCCAAATATCATTGCTGTCTTCTTGAGTTATTATTCTTTTGTGCAAAAATTGTCCCCGCTCAGTGGCCCTTATTCCTCAGTTTCCAACGGAATATTATTAGAACAGTGTGTGTTGGTCAGTTGCATTAGGTCAGACTGCAAGGCTGATGGTTCAGATGTACACTTATAAGTGGTTGTTCATCTCAAATCCTTTTTCACTAAATAAAACTTTTTTTTTTCCTTTACAGATCCTTGCAAGATTATGGCAGAGTGTAGCCATATGCAAAAACAGCTGGACTTACAGAATGGTAGCTTAGAGGAGGGCTCAGTGGTGAGTTCCCTGGAGAACCATTCTGCAGACGTGATGGAGAACGTAAGCTCCAAGAAATACTCTTCCAGTCTGAAGTTCAAAGCCAATGGAGACTATTCTGGCTCCTATTTAACCCTCTCACAACCTGTGCCTGCTAAGCGAAGCCCTTCCCCTTTGGGCACCAGTGTCAGAAACAGCCCTTCGCTAGCCAAACTCCATGGAAGCAAGCAGTTCTCCTGTGATGGAACTGACAAAAATATTTCCACAAAACCTCCCACCCCCTCCCTCAACACTACACCCTCCCATGGTGGATATCCACTCGGGAGAGCAGAGTTTGACCATTACGGTGGTCGGGATAGTGAAAGGTCCTTGAGACTCTCCGAGAAGCTTCCTTATTCCAAATATAACTCTAGAAATAAATCACATGACAATGTGTACTTTCTTGGAGGAGTAGAAGGGAAAAAGGCATCTGGTTCGCTCCTGACCATGTGGAATGGAAGTTCCCTTAGCGACTCTGGACACTCATCCATCAGCAGGTCTGGGGCAGCAAGCATGCCTTCAAGCCCAAAGCAAGCCAGGAAAATGAGCATCCAGGACAACCTGACCCCTCAACCCAGGATAACCAGACACAAGGACCCAGCATCTGAAAGCATCAGTTCAAGAACTAGGAAGTATTCAGGTGGCAGCCTGAGTCACATGGGAGCCTATAGCCGATCACTTCCCAGGTTGTATAAAGCCACAGAGAACCAGCTGACACCTTTCAGCTTGCCTCCAAGAAGCTCTCTGGGCAATTCCAAAAGAACCAGACTGGGGGAAAGGGATCTACCTCATAGCATCATAGATAGTGACAATTACCTTAATTTTTCTTCTTTAAGCTCAGGGGCTTTACCCTATAAAACCACTGCCTCAGAGGGTATTCCTTATGCAAGTTCCACCTTCAGTGTTCCTGCGAGCCCTCGAGTGGCTCGGAAGATGCTTCTGGCCTCCACCTCCTCCTGTGCCTCTGATGATTTTGATCGGGCGTCCTACTCGGGAACGAGCACAAATCACTCATTTTCTGCTGGAGAGCCAGACAGGGTATTTGTGGCCAGGAGGAACTTCTCTTGTGGCTCCATGGAGTTTGATGATGCTGAGTTGGACAGCCTCAGACAGGTATCAGGAACTCCCCAGCCTGTGCTACGGGAACGGAAAAGCAGCATTAGCTCCATTTCAGGAAGGGATGACCTGATGGATTATCACCGGCGGCAGAGGGAGGAAAGACTCAGGGAACAGGAGATGGAGCGACTGGTAAGCTTTCTCCTGGCCTCTGTTTCACTGACTGTCATTTTCAAGGGAGCCTTGGAGACAGACACCCTGGCTGTGTATGGGGGAGCAGTTCCCTTGTGCACCAGCCACTGCTCTCACTTCCTGGGTTCTCTCCTGCTGTCTGCCTCTTCCCTGGTCAGTCCTGGTGGGCCTGTGTGAGCATATCGAAGGCCTCCAGGAGCCTGATTGAGTTGTTCTGTAGCACTGTCACAACTATAAATTCTTGAAAAAGCTAAAAGTACTGGAGGTTTTACTGAATTTCTTGACATCTTATAAAATTTTTTTAAGACTATGGGGAAATACTGATTTGTATTATGTCATTGTATTTGCAGTTATGTGATTATAACAGTAGTCAGGGAAATCATGACTCATTGGGAACTAGACAGTGAACTTGTCTACAGGCCAGTTGTCTGAGGAGTCAAAACGACCCTTCAGTGGTGCCTCAGTGGTGCTCCGTTCTTCTCTGTACTGTTCACACACACATCAGAATTTCTTCTGGCTTATTTCTTAACGTGTGTATTGTATTTGTGTCATAGGTGTATAAGACTCACTGTGTTGGACATGGGAAAAATCTGATGTACGCATTTCCTCCTGCAGTGGAGCTCGTTCATAAGTCAGGGACTTGCTGTGGACCTCCATGTTACACATACTAACAAAACTTGTTATCGTTTTTCATTCCAAGGGAATTGATGTTTGAAATGGGTAATACTGTGTGATGGCTTGCATCTAAATGTACTCTGAAGGCCTCTGCCGTAAGAAGTGAGGCTTTTTCAGAGATGGTTGAATCTGGAATGTGTCATTGATTCAGGGTACAATGCTAGGGTTATGGGTGCTAGGATTAAGAGTGAGTGATTACCAAATGAGTCTACTGATTGGTATGTTATCACCCTAATCCTGGTATCCTAGATATCATGTAAGACATTTAAAAAAGGCTTGTCTTACACCTTGTTGCCTACCATGAACTCTTTCTCCTCTGGAGTGCCTCTGCCAGGCCACCCTACCTTGGAGTCAGCTGATAATGGACTGAAAACTCCACAAATTCTGAGCTAAAGACACCTTTCACCCTCAGTTTGTAGGTGTTAGGTCTTGTCTGAGCAATGAACACAAATAATGGAAACATACTGAGAATAATAGGAAATATCTCTGGAGAATTCCACTAATGAATGAGAGAAAGCTACTCTGTTTTCCTGTTCTCTGTTAAGCATAGATTTTCCTTTTAGAATGAGTACATGCCAGAGGTTATTTTACTTCATTAATGATTAATGATTTTCATAATGAGAAAAGTTGGGATGGTAAAGTTGGTTTATAAAGTACAGAATTCTCAGAAGTAGTTTAGTTACTTAAAAAGTACTTAAAGTATGTAGCAGTTAGAATTTTGAATCGTGTCCAGAATGACTTAGTGCCTCCCAGTACAATGACATTGTAATCCTTGGATCACACTTGACAGAAACTGTTTACATTTATACTGGACAGAATTTATCTGACATTTTACAACAAGAATCATTTACATCATTCAGAATACTTAGTAAGGTAATATCTGTCTTTGTGGAGCATCCACATATCCTAACTAATAATGGTGAAAGAATACAAATGTGAGGGCCGGCCAGATAGCTCAGTGGAGTAAAGCGCCTGCTTAGGCAAAGTACAGGGACCAGGGTTCGATAGCCGGCCCCACGTGCAGTGCTGGCCCCGCCCCCGAGGGGCACTGAGACAGCAACTGAGATTGGGCTTGGTGGCGCACGCCTGTAATCCCAGTGCTTGGGAGGCTGAAAACAGGAGGATCACTAGGAGTTCGATCTGTGTAGTGAGACCTGGTAGACCCTGTACTAAATACATTCAACAAAAAAGAAAGAAAGAAAGAAAGAAAGAAAGAAAGCAAATATGCATGCTGCTAGAGAATTAGTTATTCTTTGGGTGGATCAGTTGCACAGTGAAACAGTCTAATAACCCTCTTTGTTATCATAAGTACTGTCCAGGGATTATTTATAGTCCTAAAAGGGCACATTGTGCTGGGGCTGATTTCATTGATGTACATTCAGAAGTTTTAATTAGCATTTAAAACATTTTCTTATAAACGAATGGAAACATAGTGCTGCACTGTGTTAAAGAATTATTTTTTTAATTAATTTTATTGAGAAACAAATAGCAATGAGACAGTTTCAAAACCAATTAGTAGGACCGTTTCAATAATTAATGCATTGCATATTGTTGTCTTCATAGTGGTTATTCATAGTACAAGATGCAGACATGATATCCTGTCCAAACATTATTAGTACAAATCTTTCTTCTCATGGAATTAAGAGAAAGTAGCTGTATATATATATATATCCTATTTTGTATATACAGATACGAAATGGTCCTCCATTTGTATCCCGTTTTTTGTTTAGTTTTGTCAGAGATGGATATTCCATTACCATTTAAATATTCTAGGTGCATGAAAAGAATTATTTTTAATGAATTTTTTCACTCCAGAAATCTTCCTTAACTCATTTATTCTTCTATCTTAAGGACAGAAAAATCAAACTCCAGAAATTAATCTGCCCTGGGCTTTGTGTTTGCTGTCTATAAAATGTTAAGTTTCTCTGTCTTCTAGATTCTCTAGAGGAATAGGACCCTCCGTGAAGGTTAGGTTTTGGCAATCCAGGAAGAGTTCATTTTAGTTCCTATGCTGTCAGGACCCTGTAAGTCATAGGCAGGTTCAACTGCTTGGGAGACCTTTGTGGATATTGTTTTAAATAATCAGTTATGATCTTTTTCCTTAGTAGTGTGCCTGGCATACCTGCTGAAATGGGACTTGTTTTTAAGTAAAACACTCTAGATTTGGCCTTGGTTGCAGTGTGTATTTGAAAAGGAGAGGGCAGGTTCTTACTGACAAATATAATATGCAAAACTGATATTGCCTTTAAAAAGTAACCTGACTAAAAACTTTCATCCTGAGTTCTGAGGGATCAGTGAGGATCAGCTACTATTGAA